CAGACTGCTAGCCAATTGGTAGACATTGATTTTCGTCAATTCAACAACCGATCACAGTAGACTTAACGTGGGCAAATACGATTCGCAGATATATGGCTTAACTTTCTGAGGAACCAGTTACAAGCAGTACAGAACAACCTTGAGCAAGAAACGACCAATCAGAAGACTGTGTTTGTCTGCTTGAATAAGCTATAATAATGTACATGTAATATATATAAATATGTGCTGATTTCCTCAATAATCGATCTGTTTCCTGGCCCTTGTCTTCTGTTGTTACATAGTTTTCTTTGTTCTCTCCTATTTGTCGTCGCAGGGGTAGTAGAATTTTCCAGATATCTGGGTGGAGGGGTGTTGAATCGTCCCTGTTACAAGTGTTTGTAGTTGATTCGATAAATAAGGCTTCCGTTGTTGATCTCTCATTCCACCCTGTTACATTAGATTTTAAAACTGTAATCTTACCCAATCTACTATTATTGTTTATTTTGTTATTACATTTCCCTACATACGACCTGATTAATTTATTATTATTAGTTTCAAAGCTTCTCTTGTATGTCTCACTTACTGTCTTAGATTTTCCTTGGTACTACTTAGCCTGTGTGCTCTATCACTGAAACATTCAACCAATCGTGTTTTTACTGACATACGATGGAATAATAAGTTAACCAGAAAGTATGTAGGGAAATGTGTAAATAAAATAAATAATGATAGTAGTGATACTATTACAAATAATAATGATACTAACAGTAACAACTGCAATTATAATAGTAATATTATTGATCACGTGGATGTCAAACATGCACAAGACAACACCAACAATAAGGAATCTAAATCATTTGGACAATGGGTATATGATATTCATTATAGCGAAGGTTTTCTTGTATTTCCCAATGAATTGAAACAAAACGATACTGTTGCTTTTGCTGACGTTTTGCTATTTAATGCTACTACTAATAGCATTATCAAAGTGGTATTATCAAACCAGAATTGAAAAAATTCATATGATTTCAATTTCCAAATAGAACATCGAGAAATTGATAAAGCAGACGCTATGGTAAGCTATGATGATATTAACTCATTATATACTAGTAACCCTATTACCGAAAGTCTTGATATCATTTCCAGTCTACTAGAATCAGATACAACGCTATCACAAAGAAAGATGTCCACTGGACACCAGTGGAATAATTAGGAGCTTAAATTTTTGTCTACAATGTAATTATTTTACATTTAAAGGGAGTTTATATCGACAGACAAATGGCATTCCTATGGGTTCACCAGTCTCCCGAATAGTCGCTGACCTTTTCATGAATAGATTCAAAAATAACATGTTTTCAAGAATACTCACTCCTAAAATATCGTTAAGATAGCTAGATGATACTTTTAGGGTGCTAAAATGAGATCTACACAATTCATTTCTGGAGAAAATAAACTGTGTATCTCCCAGAATCCAGTTCACTTCGGAAGCAGAATCCGACGTCGGTGAACTACTATCTATAGACTGCCTAACTAGTTAAGAGGAGGGAAAATGGACATTTTAGTAAATCTTTATTCAGGAAGAAAATCCACTCCAACAAATATTTAGACTTCGGATCATTACACTCCATCAGCACAAAGGTATCAGTTGTTTCAAGTCTTCTAAGGCGAGCACACTCTTTGATGTTAACAGATGAGAAAGAAAAAGAAGAAGAAATATCAAACATTACTGAAACTCTCAAGCAAGACACCTACTCAAAAAGCTTCATCAATAAAATCAACGCTGACATTAAGTATAGTCAAAAACGCATTCTGATGCCATGGACCTCAACAATTGTTATTCCATATATATATCGGAGACATCAGACGATATCAGAAGAGTATTCATTAAGCACAGCATTAGAGTTTTCTTCAGAACATCAGACACACATAGCAGAGCAACCTTGTCCATGTTAAAGACCAAATCCCTAAAGATTCTCTATCTAATTGCGGCTACAAAATAAAATGCTTGGAATGTGATGCGACCTACATCGGACAAAAATCGCCAGAGAAAAATCAAAACCAGAAGAAATGAACACCACAAAGCATCTGTTCGACCACCGAAAAATCGAGTTGAACTAGAAAAGCTGGAAAAATCATCAGCCATTGATCTACACGGTATAGAATCAGGTCACAAAATTGATTTTGACAATACTGAAATCATCATCCAGAAAAACTTCAGAAATCACAAAGAACCCCTAATATCACCAGAAGCACTTCATATAATCAAATAGAATCCAAATTGTCTGAATAGGAATGATGGACTAAAACAGAATTTGACCTGTTTACAGAACACACACTCCCCCCCCCATGAAGTGACAAAATCAGCACAAATGTGATAAGCAACTTCACTATGTAAACACACATTGCATTTACAATTTCACTCAATTGTCAAATCCAACAATCTGCACATGATGGTTTTGTTATCTTTACCAATCGGCTAACTTAACAACGCAAAATGACCTTATGATGAGGAATGATGATTAAGTTGTTATGTACATAAGCTGAGTGGATTTTGTAAATTCTGGTTTAATAATACTACTACTTTGATAAAGCTATTAGCAGCAGCATTAAGTAGCGAAACGTCAGTAAAAGCAACGACAGTATCAGTTTGTTTTTCATTCATTGGGAAATAGAAAAACCTTTTATTATAATGATTAAATTCACTATTGTCTCAGATATTGGATTCACCTTAATCTATCCACGAGTTCATCACATTATTCTTAAATCAGTAAGTTGGAAGGGAAATGGGGATATGTCAAAAATCCATAGAATTCTGAGGTAAAGGTAACTGATTGATACGACGATAGCTTTGAGTTTGATCTCTTTTGAGGTGGAAATTTACAGTTCATGAATCATTCTAGCTGTTTTGATTATATAATATGAAGTGTGTGTCGGTGGCACAGTGGTTAGGACTCTCGCCGACCATGCACATGGTCCGGGGTTCGAGCCCAGGCCGACGCACACCTGATATCTAAGGTCGGCCTGTAAAATTTGGGCTACCGATATCCATGCTGAAAATTCCATACATGTACCAAAAATACAGTGTGGAATCAAGCTGTAAATCAAAAATCAAAAAAAAATCAAGTTGGTTGTGGTTGGAAATGAGGCCTAGTCGAAAGCAGACTAAAGTGAACATTTTTTTATACATTATATTATGAAATATTTATATATTTTTATAGACTGACCACTTCGAATTGTGCCTACCAATTCAACTACACCTTTGGATTTCGTCTGCAAATAGTTTCATGTGGCCACGTTGCCATAATTTCTACCAGATAAGTGCTATTCGTTGATTTCACTCTGTGGATGGAGGTGATCTTCTTGACAGTAAAAAGAACGAATGAGAATGACGGGACATGCTAATCCACTCAAGAGATCTAGGAAACCCCGATTTTAAATCTAAGATGTATATGAACTCCAGAATTCAAACGAATCGAATGAAACAAGAATCAAACTTGTGCAATGTATTGGTAGAATATAATTCCATTATGGGTAAAATAATGGGTAAAAAAAAAATAAACTCACTAGTAAAGGGAATAGAATTCACATTTGAATCAGAAAATGAACAAGGAGAATTAGCTATCATGTTAGATTGTAAAATAAAACCGATAGAAGAAGGTAAACTGCACACTAGTGTTGATAGAAAACCAACGCATTCTAATATTGGATATTTAGACTTTAATTCATCTCATCCGTTAACTGTTAAGGCAGGCTTAGTTGAGTGTCTAACAAACCGAGCAATAGCACTAAGTAGTACAAGAAAAGACCTAAATGAAGAAATAAAACAGATTGATGAAGCGTTGGTGTTGAACAAGTATCCCATAAAATTCCTTAGGAAGATCAGAAAAGGCCAAAAGCGAAGTAAAAATAATTGTGTAACTAGTAATGATAACATATATATAAGAGCGAATATAAGTCATCTACTGTTATACCATATAAGGAGGGGACATCTCAGACCCTATGTAGAATTCTTAATAAAGCAGGAATTAAGTTGGTGGTGGTATTCAAACCTACAGATTCACTCAGGTAGGAGAAGTTCTGTAGGACAAGGGACCCTGTAGGTTGACCCAATTGAACAAAATAATGTAATTTACAAAGTAGCCTGAGAGAGAACTCAACTACATAGATCAAACCAGTAGGTCAGGAGCAGTCAGATTGTTGGAACATAAGAATTTAGTGGCTAAGGTAAGAATGGTTGATCCCACTCGAGAAGATAAGTAACTTAGAAAAAAAAAAGCTCAGCAATCGCACTAAATGCATTAACACACAACCACACAATAGGGTGGGGTAGAGAGGGTTAAAATTCTGAAAAGTGATCTAGGTAGGTGGGTGGAGACATAGGTAGATAGGAATGACTCATCACTCATAACGGAAATATGGAAAATGCTACTACAAATCAAATCAAGCTATGAAAAAAAAATAATGGATCTATTTAATCGAAGTTAGAAAGTTGTGTGAGTAGTGTCTTGATATGATTATGAGTAAGGATTAACTGTGCACAAAACGTGGTCATCAGTGAACATTACTGTATAACACTGTGAGATTTTATCAAAAACAAATTTTACCCATAATAGAATCGAACGAAATATGAACCTGTTTTGGTGACCAGTAAATATGGTAACGTAGATCCTGGCGCTGCTCTACTACCCTATGGATTATACTTTAAGTTAAGGTCTCAGGAAGTGGTCTTTTAAGATAATCACCTGTTTTGGTCTGGGATTCTAAGTCATACTCTGACCACTGTACAGAACATGAGATTTTGTGTCACTCCTAACCTTCTCTCTTTATAGCTTAGAGAGATTCAAGGATACGTCGGCTTGAAACTGAACTCCGGACCACGCGTGTAGTTGACCAGTATTCTACCATCTAGCAATCGATGTACATTTCACGGCGCCTGTAATGTACTCAGTTTGTGTCTTAGTAAAAATATAACGGACTTCGTATAAAAAAAGTGAAGAAACAGAGATGGGCAAAATCAGACTCACCCGAGAAGACGAATGCAGTAAATCGACTTTTTTCAGATGGCGGTGACCAAATTGCAACTAAGCAAGCCATATTAGGCATCATAACCCCCTGTTGAAAGAGAAAAGATGAAGAAAATATTCAAGGGAAATTAAATTATTTATCGATTAAACATGGAATAAACACCACAAGAAAAAATAGATGAACCTAAAGGGCACAAAATTAAGATATACAAAGTTTTAATTAGTTATCAATTGAACTAGAAAACTATTATGAAATGATTAACTGGCGGAATGTTTATAGTTGGATACCTGTAAGTAAAAAAAAAACAGGGCTGTAATCATTCCACCTGTACATCGTATCAAACGAAAATCCAGCACTGACTGCTTATATAAAGCAAGGAGACTGGTGGTCTATATGAATATTTTGGGCTACCATATTCCATGCACCTTTTGCATCTATTTTATTATTATTTATTATTGTTCCTTTGGGTTCCTAGTGGAACATAGAGCTTCAACTGAACGTCTCCACTTGTCACTTCTGTCTTCCTTCTGCTGTACTTCTTACCTTCATCCATGTTAGTCCATACTGTTTCAACTCCTCTTCATGTGATCTTCATATCCCCGTCGGACGTCCCACTCGCAGCTCCTCATTCTGTTGAGTTCCACTCGAGCAATGGCCTGACGCGCGCGTGATATCACCCAGCGGTCTTCTCAGCCACGAGTGTCCAATCCATCTCCACTTTCTCCTGCATATTTGTTTGGGGAGCGACTGGTTCTTGTTTCGTCTGTTCCCATAGTTTCTTGTTAGCGAATTTTTCCGCCCCGGCCATCTGATCCTTATTATAGAGCCAGCGAAGACAGTTGTTTGTTGATAAAGGTTTGCAACAGGCCGTTAGAAATATTCTTATTGACCCGCCCAGCAATTTTCTGATCCGTGTAGAAGAAGTGACTGACTTGGCGTTGTTTGTATTGAAAAGCCGACCGAATTTCGTTGTTGATGCTGAGTGACGAAGATTTTCAGATTGGTTTAGGTTGATCATGTGTGTTTCTCGCCTTCCCGGTTCTCACTCGATTTGGCATCCTCGTCGGTTCCGACTTCCTGTAGTTGAGGCAACGCTTCCTAGATAAGTGAATGAAGTAACCTCTTTCAAATCCCTCCCGTTGATGGTGATTGACGCTGGATGTTGCTGTTGTTGTTGTTGGTTGGTTGGTTATTTTCATCACCTCCGTCTTGTCTGTGTTAACCTGGAGCCCTGTCTTCGCTGGCTGCTTCTTCGACCGGTTTGTCAGTCGGTTTTCGCTTGTAAGTCTTCGATTTTGTGACAGTGACATCAAACATAAATCATCCACGCGCGAAATCCAGGTCTTCTAGGTTTCTCACGTCGGTTCAGGATATCTCTGTCTTCTCGTTTCTGACTGTCTGACGCATAATTCATTCCACCACAATTAGGAATATCATTGGTGATAATAAGCACCCTTGTCTGATTCCTGTGTTTACTCCAAACGCCTCGCTGAGTCTTCCGTTGTGGATCACTTGACATGTGCCGTTGTCGTACAGCTGTTGAATAAGGTTGATGAATATTTGGGTTACGCCGTAGTAATTTCCAAATTACTTCACGGCGGTCAACGCTGTCTGTCGAAGGCCTTCTCAAAGTCTGTAAAGTTGAGGTAGAGGTTTGATAGCCATTCCATGCTTTGTTCGATGATGACGACGATGCGTGGAGTAGCAATTCGGTCAAAACATGGTTTGCCTTTCCTAAATCCAGCTTGTTCTGGTCGGAGTTCTGTCTCCAGTGCGTCCTTTAATCTCTCCAGGATGATGCGACTCAGGATTTCACTTGGCGTCGATAGAAGCATGATTCCTCGCCAGTTCTTGCAGAGTCCTAAGTCGCCCTTCTTTGGTAGTTTCATGAGGTAACCTTTCCTCCAGTCAGTAGGCACCTTTCCTTCCTTCCAGTTGCATCTATTTACTCATATTTTATTGGCGTTTACATATCAAATTTTGCGTTCTAATCGTATTATTCACACCCATGGTTAAATAAAACATTTAACACCCAAAAGCTTTCATATTTCTAATAAACCCAAGAAGAAGCACCATGGTGGTTGGCAGCGTGCTTTAAGATGTACACCCATACATCACATCACTGTTCCGGTTATCATTAGTACCCTCTGGCAGTCCCTGCCTAACAAAATTCTAGATTTTCAGTCCCTTTTGTCGTCCGGAATTTATCACAATACTGGTATTGTCACTCTTCAAGAAACCTGGCTCCATGACTTATATGATGACAATATGCTGTCTTTAAATGATTTCAGTGTATTCCGATAAGACCGTGTTCATTCCAAGGAAAAATGTGACTGAGGTGTTGCAACTTTTATTCACTCTAAATGGTCCATTTCTAATAAGGTTTGTTTCAAACTCTTGAATGACTACATCGATTGCATCACTGTGAGATGTCGCCCGAAACACTTGTCAAACTACAAATTCATTTATATTTCAAATGTTTATGTCTCCCCTGGTTGTACCATATCGGATCTATCTATGTTCGCAGATTTATTCACTGCTTTTGCTGCAGATTGCTTCGAGCACTCTTTATCAATAGGGACTGACGACTTTAATTCCTGTGTCCGCTCCTTCATTATGTCACTTGGTCATGACAATGTTCTTAACCTTGCTACTCGTCTTGGTAAAACTGGGTCCAGGATTTATTATTGATGTTGATATATATGAAGCTCGCAAACGAGCTCCTTTATCTAACCCCGACCACTGCATCTATCATACTTGTATTGCCAAAATATATTCCAAATCAAACAAAGATGTCTTCTCTCACCTCTACAGGAAAGTTCAACGGAGACGCTACTCACAAGACAACTTATGCAAGCTCAGATGCATGTTGAAAGACACTAACTGGGACTTATATACAGAACAAACATTAGATGACACAATCACAAACACTGCAGATTATCTTAAATTCTGTTTCGAAATATGTTGTCCTAAAGAAACATTATGAATTCGACTTGACCGTTTCACTGCTCCACATCTCAAAAAGCTACGTAGAGATAAAGAACTGTTGTTCAAAACAAATGATAAGCCTGGTGTAAAAAAGTTAAACATTCTGATAAAACTGGAAATAAAAAGACTAAGTGTTTTATATAATCAAAGATTTTTGTCATGTAAAACCCCTTCTAATTTGTGGAAACTTTTCAAAGAAATTACTAACGGTAAGCGATGTATTTCTGTCCCATCAGGGCTAGTAGCTTTCTGAAGTTTCAGTAACGGGGGTGATGTTGCTTCCTATAGCACGCGGTTGATAGTCTCACAACTAGACGTTACCTATTTTCCGGCTTTATTATGGGTTAATAAGCAAGGCGAAGATTCAAGGGTGAATAACAACAAGTTAGCACATGATACAGGCAGCGAAGATAGTCTGACGTATGCTACTGACTCGATCTATCAGTAGTATAGAAACAGACGTCCATTGCCATAGAAATATAAAATAGCGGAGGGAAAGATTTGACTTGAAAGAAAGCATGTTTCGGCGAAACATGAGATTCACAAAAAGAGGACAAAGAAACATAATACGAAGGGCAGAAGTTGCAAGCACAACACAGAGGATCTATGCAAAGAACGATTTTAACATAAAGTATATATAATTTTTGATGACGTTGTGTTATCTGAGCTGGAGAGTTAATTTGCAGAGATTTCATTACCCCACCACTAGAAAACATCTTCAGCACATACTTCAATTCGTTGAAGTGAGCTTTTAGATTTCTCTACGAGTTTATTAGTCATCTCTCCTGGTGGGTGACCTTGAGAGGGATTGGTTGCTTTTGTATGATTTCACACCCACCGCTAGCTCATGATCATGGATACGAAGACGAAGAGGATGTTGTCCACTTTGACCAATGTAGTGCTTTTCGCGGTTGTTACAATTTATTTTGTAGATGATATTGGTTTCATCTTCGTTCGTTGTTGAGTCTTTTGGTTGATATGGAAAAAGGTGAAGTTATTTTGTTGGTTTGTGTGCGACATCAATTCCCAAGGATTTGAAGAGTCTCGTAGTGATTTCCGAGATGTCTATTAATATCAAATATTAGACAGAGGAAACACCAAGAATGCCAGAGAATTTTTAGAAGGCTGCCTGGTATTCCAGTGAATCATCAATCAATAGACACATCGACGTACACAAATTTCACCAATTGATAAGAAAAAAATCTCACACACACAAACGGTCAAACTTCCGGTCAAGGAAACAATCATTACCAATACAAGAAGCCTATAGGGTGTGAAAACATACGAAAACAACCGATCACATTGAAGATCTCCCACCAGGAGAGATGACTAATAGTGAACTCGCGGAGAAATCTAAGAGCTCACTTCAAATTGAAGTATGCACTGAAGATGAAAGTTTCGAAAAGTGACTATCCAGCTCAGAGAGCACAAACACATTAAAATCATCCACCTGAGCTGCAAATTCTTCTTCATCATATCTAAAGGTATATGTAATTCCTATATAAGTGTATAACAAACTGCCGATAAACACTCGTGTCTTCTCCTTTTACAAAAGGATTTCAAGTGAGTCTAAAGAAGACAGAGGTGATGAAGATTTCCGAAAACCAACAATAACTGTCGATGATCGTGAAAGGAGGAGATTTAAAGTAGGCTACTTACTTCACTTATCTAAGCAGAATCTTTTTGACTACAGGTGGTGCGGATGAGGATTTCTGAGGCAGGATCAATAAGGCAAGATAAAGTTTCATTAATCCCCAACTTGTCTGGAAATCTACTACACTCAGAATGAGGAATAAGATTTGCATTTTCAACACTAATGGCAAGTTTGATAGTGCTTCGATTGGGTTCATAGACTTGACTAGTGTAACGTTGAAAGCATTTCCAACAAGCTGTTGAAGACTTTCAGATGTCCATAAAGGATGAGCAACACATGGGATTCTGGAAACGATCCAATTAAGGACCTATTTTTCAACCATTATGCAGGCAGAAATGGAAGTGGATGAGACACAAGCTGAAAAGACAGTCGGGGGAACATCAAGCCACAAGTTGGCTTCATAGTGGAGCTCGAATGGTGAACGATGAGCTAAAGGAGATCATGC